TCACAAAATCCTACTTCCAGACTCGCCGCTACGATTGAGCGCCATGATTCTCGTATCGCCTAAAACCGTACCGTTGTGCATCTCCCTACTTATCTCTGTCTAGATCATCGATTTTTGAATTAACTTTTGAGTCAGTCAGTGACAGCTCATTTTGTACAACTGATATCTTCTTTCTTTTTTCGCGGCTTATCCAGCCAATTATCAATCGCCTAATTTGAACCTCAGATCCATGTATTTGAGAAATTAAATCAATTAGACGTATGAAAACGATTTCTGTCAATATTGATTTTATTTAATGTTTATTCCATATTTGTACACGCCCTCGGCATGCCACATACAATTAATATAATACAGTCCAACGCAGCCAAGGTAGAAGTAAAATACAAAAAATATATATATTCTACGTCGATATTATTGTTACCACAATTGTTATAACGTTGAATAATTATGAATAGTGGCTAAGAGTATATGATACAGAGAAAGAGTGCTGGATACAATTGGGACATATAATTCGGATTGGATTGCGTCGCAATAATCGCTTCTGCAATTCTCACAAAATATCTTAAACCGATTTATACTAATGCCTTTTCACGATAGTACGTCATTTCGCGTGTAAATCAAAAGAAAAACATTATTTGCAAACGTAACAAGATAAAATTACTAAAAAAGTCCATAATCATCACAGCATTACGACGCACTCGAGAAACAATGAAATACAGTGCGCGACGAAGATAAGGAGAAGAAAAATAGAAGAAAGAAAAAAAAAATTAAAAACCAAAGAAAAAATACAATCTTTTTCGCCGAGTTAAAACAATCGCGATAATGGCCACATATAAAAAAGATTTAAAAAGCTATGTCTAGAAAAATCCAAAAAAAAAAAAAAAAGAAAAGATCGATTCCTCCTACAAATTTATCTTCCCCCGCTTCGTACGATGATCGAAAAACGCTTGAAGATTCAAGAGACAAAAGGAAAAGACGATTATAAGAAAGATTCACACGATAAATGTAATAAATGATTCGCAATATACACAATATGTGAAATAATGAACGTGGCTAGTACTCTCGTTCGTCCATAAGACGCTGGTCGTCCCGACGCCCAGTGTCTCCGTATCCGAAAACTCAACCCTTAAATACTCTTATAAGACTTAGGGATAGTAGCCATAGGTAGTAATTACAATTTTGCAAATTACATAATCAACGCCGTACATCGGGCCATGTAGTAACGCTTTACTAGACTGTTTAGCGTAAGAGAAACGCACGCTTAATTATTTCAGGTGTCTCCTTAATGCGGTACGCGTAAATATATATTCATTACGATTTAAAGATGGACGCGAGATCGGTCGCTATCACGGAAATCTCTTGCGAAGTTGTTGCCCTAATTTGTGAGGAATTATAGTTCAGCAGCAGCAGCGACAGCGTTAATTAATAATAGCAGCAGTAGCCATCATGGACGTGGATCATTTTGGCGCGTGTTCCAGATCGACCGACTCTGTAATTCCTTTGGATGACTTTTCATGTACGCATTGGCCGTGCGTCTGCGACTTTCGTCGCGCGACCGTGGCACGTTTTCTATGGCAGCGTCAATGAGGATTGCTGATGTGCGAACGTGGAGGATTGCGTTCTCGAGATCCGACAATAACAGTACAAATGATTGGAAATGATGCGAAAGAATCGAATGACAATAAAAAGAGAAATAAAAACCTAACCCAACGTAGAAAGAATAATAATTAATCGTTTAACAATAGGATTGATTAATGAATAATAAACGTAGCGATTGATAGCGCATGTTTTTTCCCTCCAACTAAGGGTAAAACTTCGTCGTGTATATGTATATTTATATTTATATATATATATATATTCATCTTTTGTCAAGGAATAGTTTTAAGAGCAGATGGAGGAAATGAATGTAACGAAAGGATTTTGGGAGGATTCACAATGTCTATAGTTAATATTCTTTGTCTTCAAGTTATTGGTAATTCATGAGCTATCGACTCATTAAACTTCCTCCTTCGAAGGTTCACAGCGACTGGAATAAAACTATCTAAGTGTGTACTCGAGTTATCTTTTTTCTTCTCCCTCTCTTCGATTCATCTGTATTAACCATAGAGATGTTTTTTTAAAACGCATATCTTATGTCGTGCACGCGTTTTTCCATTACTAGATTAATACTATTTCTTTTACCAGTTTTACAACTAAGTTCATCAATATGGTTTATTTATTTTTCTCTCTCTCTTTCTCACTCTTGGAATATACTACTCTTCGCATACACATTCTATGTCTCTTTTTTCGTTTCCATGTTTTTCAAAGCTGCTTTCACACACACGCATACACACACTCTCTCCCACCCTTTCATACAAGCAATCTCACTCAACCGCTCTTACTGTCCTTTCACACAAGGCGGTTCATAGTTCGTCCTGAACAAATGGATAAGCAACGTCCAGGAAGAAACATTAATTAACCATGAATCATCCTGTAAAACGTTACACTCTCCGCCACGAGGAATTTCTCTATATATTATAAAATACATTAGTTTACAAACAATGTGGATTAAGAGTCACCGTGCCCCTGGGTAATGTCTACTTAGACCCGGTCGAACATTCCAGAAGAAAACTAAAGTAAAAACGTTACAAGAATTGACAAACGTAATGGAACATTTTCGCTCGGCAGCCACTTTCCTTCAGCTCCACGCATAATTGACTTTCCAAACGCCACTGGCAGACTTATTTATTGTACTACTCGAAGCGAGACAGGATATCCGGCTACATATCTACAAAGGCTGCCAACATATTATAATTCGATCCGGTTATTCATAGCAGCTAAATATTTGACTCCTCGAAGAAGAGACGATTCACTACATGAGCGTCGCTTCCTGATCCTCGCAAATACAATTACCCTGGAGACGGTCGACCGTTAGAACAATAAGTCTATCTTATCGTGCTACATACATATTTACAAGGTAACCTGGCGAACGTGGCCAGGAACCTCTCTTTGAATTTCTTCTCTGTTATCGTCCGGAGTCTACACATCCTCGCACGCATTAAATAATTCAGAATAAAATCTCGCCACAACTCGTCCTACGTGGTTACTCATATCTTTCGTCGTTCTAACTTTCTCTTGACTCTACGCGTATGCATTAAGTCTTACGTGGCGCTATGTCCTGCGAATGTCTTACTGGGGACTACAGTACGTTACCCCGCTTGGATATACTAGAGATCGTTCATAATGATCCTGCTAGTGGACAGTATTATCATCATCTGGGTTACTTGTATCAATTAATTATTTATTCGTCTATCCTGGTACTTTGTGTTATCTTTATCGACGCTCTTCTCCATTGCGTTCGAAGAAGGTCGCGGAAAAAGACTTATCATGGAAGTCCCTTACGGGTTTATGCTTTTTCGTTATCGTTTATCACTTATCCCTATCATTTCTAAAAAAAAAGTGTCTACCACGAGAAAGCTGTGTCTCGTACAAAGGTCAAAGATCGGTAGTATTAGTATCTTTTGTGTGACCTGCCTAACATGAACTCCGGACGATTGAGGCAAGAACGTGTCAACGAATATCGAAATGTCAGCGCTTATCAAATACGTCTGACTCAGTGCTCCTTGTCAATTTACATCTTCATTGTGACTACAGCGATTCGAAGATTACGAATTAAGTTATCGTTCACGATTTACGATTTCTTAACAATCAATATGCACGTGCTGGATGATCCCTGATTCGTCACAATTGTGGAAGATACTTTGACGTAGAAACGAATCGGTTTGGCTTGTTTCTTCTTTTCTCTCTCTCTCTCTCTCTTTTTCGGCGATTTTTCATTTGGACAGTACAGGAAAACTTTTGTAAATGTGCCACCGACTCTATCCTCCTTTCCAATTGGTTTACTTGTACTTGTGTTCTTATAATTTCTGCACCGAATGAGACTGTCGCACATTGAAAGTGAATTATCCTGTACCATCAGAATCTTTCTCAAGAAGCGATAATCGAGAAAGCTCTTTTTCGTTCTGGAGCGAATGAATAATGGTAATTAAAGGGAAATTAGAGGATAATGATAGGTTAGAGTGTTAAGATGTTCTCGGACCACAATCTCTTGCGAACCCTCGCCCGCTCGCGTCCCTACGTGTCCCTGAAAGTAAAACAAAATTAATTAACTACTATATTAAGGAACAACTACCCTACAGAACTTTAATATTAAGAAAAAAGAAACATCCTTATAGGCACCTTAAAGTAACTTTGTCCATGAGCATGGATAGCCGGCCGTCCGAGTGATTAGCAGGAAGCAAAGCCTTCAGGACTTCCCGGACGAGTGCTTCGCTCATACCAGGCGACGTGCGTTCCGCCAGTTCAAAAGCACCGCGAAGTTCGTCTATCGCACCGCCGTTTCTACCAACCCCACTACCACCCTCGCCATTATTGTCCCTCGTCGTGTATTGATGCTTCCGTTGTAGCTGAAAAGCATACAAAACTTACTACAGGATCCCTCGTGTTAAGTTGTCAGAGCTGTTTTGTATTATCGCACAAGAGACTGTAACTGATTAGATTAATTAAGCAATGGTATCAGTTACGTCCGTAATGAAAAGAAATGACGAATGGCGACTTGAAAGAAAAAATTAATTAGATAATTATAAATCGTCTATCACCTCTGAGAGAAGCGGTAGAATAACGCCAGAGAGCGCTGCGCTTCGAGGATGCTTCAATTCCTGAGAACTTCTAGGTCTCTGCTTCTCTTCGGTAGCCCTGTGGTCGACCAGCGGTACCACCGGAACTTCCGGTTTGCTATTTCTCTTCTCACGTGTATTATCCCTCTCCCGTTCTCTCTCTCGCTCCCGATCACGCTCCCTCTCCCTGGACTCCCTCTCCCGGTCCCTCTCTCTACTCTCTTGAACGTCGCCGCGCCTCTCCTTGGTGGGAGCCCTCTGAATGGATTCCCTGCTGGAGTCACGGAATTCCCGACTCTCTCTATTTTCACGATTTTCACGATTCTCTCGGTTCTCTCGGGTTTCCACCGGCGGTGGAGGTGCTGCCTCGTGCGGACGTGACTTAAATCGAGAAAACACAGGCTATTTAATTATCCAACGTATCAATATCACAAAAAGAATAATTCTGTGTATAGTCAATAACGAATTACTGATATCTTTGAAGAATCAAAGATCTCCTGATAAATATCGTTAAACGACCCCAGTCTAATAACCAGGATATGAGAAACACGTTTCATTTATTCATAACTAATGAATAGTTCACGTGCGATTGGGAAACTTTGATACAAGACATGCAATACCTTTTATATATTTTCTCCTCCCATCAGAAAAAAACCAGGTTATTTATCAATGGTGCACAAGGCCACAATTTCAAACGAGCACTAATAAGTTATAACGGTACAATGTAAATGAACGTACCGGTGTGTGTTTAGACTGGCCTTCCCGTAGCGAGTCCCTAGACTCTCTCGACTCCCTAGAGTCCCTGGAGTCGGTTCTATAATGATTTAAATTAGACTCCTTTGGCGGTGACCTGGAGGCTCCATTAGCATGAGGTTTGCTTTGCGATTGGTTGTGATTTGATGATCTGTGATTAGGAGTGTGTGTTATGGTCAGCGACGGTGGTTGATCATCCAACGGTAGCATTGGCAGAACAGACCCCTTGACGCCATGTGGACCTTTCACTGTCATTATCCATGGTTCATCCATGTCACTATCCTGCTTGGACTCTTCGCTGAGGATCAAAATGAAAACCAGCATATACATACACGTACAGAGAGAATCGAAATAAATTTTTTTATTTATCACGTGACACTTACGAGTCTGAATTTTCACTCTCCGTTTCAGATTCCTCGCTACGCTGAGACTTCCACTTCTTGTACCTGTCGATGAGGTCGATGAGATACGAGTTCTTCTTGGCCTTCCTGATGAATTGGAACTTCAGCAAATCCTTGGCCGTCGGTCTCTGCGCAAGAGGATTACAAATGAGTGACATATCGACATAATGATCATCCCAGTAACAACTCGGGTAACGAATATCCTGTCATGTCATTTCCGCCACGAGTCTCGTGCTTGATCGACCATGCGATTCCTATAAGGTCAATCAATACCGTAAACCCATCCCGTATAAAATTACCCAAAAAATCCTCAAGGATAATCCATACAACGGATATTCATTTTCATTTACAAAAATTCCTCCCGAGTCCACATAATTTACTCGTGAACAGAAAAGTTCCAGAGTCAATAAAACTATAGTACGTTTTATAGAAATAATTTTGTATCACTACAAAACATCGTATAACCAAAGATTTAATCGATAGTTAAAAACAGGCTATTGCCCCTTTCAATTATCCTTATGAATTTCGTTGTCTGTAATTAATTGAGCGAGTCCCCATTGGTTAGCGAAGGTACGACGTCACTCGGTGTATTTAAATTGATTCCATATTATCGTTTCCTCGTGCTCCAGAAACTTCCAAATTTTTACGAAGAACTTGTGCTGCTACCATTGGCTGGATATCGGAGACTCACGTATCTCCAGAGACACTCACGTTTTCCGGATCTTTGTTCAAACAGGCCTCGACGAACTCCTTGAACTGTTTCGTGTAGTTTCCAGTCAACTGTGGCGGATTGTTCTTCGGTATAAGAAACAGCACTCTCATGGGATGTAGCTCGCTGTTCGGAGGTTCGCCCTTGGCTAGTTCTATCGCCGTGATTCCCAGCGACCAAATGTCAGCCTGACCACCAAAATAGAGAGTGCGTTACACGTAGAGCATAGCGTTAACAAGGTGTTAATGAAAACGTGACCGTACGCGATGTTACGGTCTCTGAAGTGAGTATAGGAAGAGGAAGTTTAATAAAAAAAAATAATTCAACGTCACTCCACTTCTTACACTTCCTTATAAAACTGTCTTCCTCTACCTTCGAATCATAGGCTGACTGCTTAATGACTTCCGGCGCCATCCAAAATGGGGTACCGACGAAAGTGTTTCTCTTGCTTGTCGTGTTGGTCAACTGGCCGGCCACGCCGAAATCAGCCAACTTCACGTCGCCCATCTCGCTGAGGAGAACGTTTGCGGCTGAAATAAATAATGAATATAGACGATTAACGAATCAGTCGTTTATTATGCAAATCACGAGTACACCGATACTCGGCGGTACAGTGTGGACCTACCTTTAATATCACGATGCAATTTACGTTCGCTGTGCAGGTAATCCAATCCCTTGAGGACTTCGCGCAAAATGACGGCAATGTGCATTTCTTCGAAGCTGCCGGCCTTCATGAGATCCAGGGCTGAGCCGCCGCCCAGGTACTCCATGATGATCCATAGCTTTGTGCCCTAAAAATAAATTCGAGACAATAGGAATGTAATATGTAATGTAATAATAGGATGAGAAATGTAATTTATGGGTGATAAGAGACGTGTAATGGACAATGGAAGATAAGGTGGCAGTTTTTATCATTACTGACAACTAGAGAAACACCTCGAGTCTACAGTTTCTCCTAAAGCGAAAGCAACTAACTCAAAAATTTTCTTTCAGGTGCCAGCAATACACAGTCAGTTCAAAGATTTACTAAGAATAGATCGTTGACAGTTCAGCTTTGTGCTCCTCTGTAAAATCTATTCTATTTAATGCCTTTTCTCTCCGTTCTAGGCGTTACTTTAAGCACTGAGTCGACGCGCCATCTATTGGGTCACGGCTATAATTATAACCGTCGGACAACAGTAGCGACCATCCCCTACGGTATAGAAGGGCCAGCTGCGTGGTGCGATCCGATAGATCATAGTAATGGGACTGCTAGGCGATAGAGCGAGCGCGCGACATCGCTCGTTAATAATCCACCTGATTACCCGACGATCCGTGCAAGGCCGACGGACATGTTGTTTCGCTTGTTTTGTCGTCCGTCGGTTGATTTAGGTGGATGAGGGGAAAAAATAAATGTATAGGGAGTTGGTAAGGAGGATAAAAAATTGTCAGTTAAAAAAAATTAAAGGAAAGTGTATACCTGCGTAAAGTGTAAGGAGATTTCGTGCTGGAAACTCATGAATTGAATATAGCAAGGTAGGTCAAAGGTCGACAGAAGAGATTCTTGTAAAATCGAAGGATTCAAGGGTGCTTAGTATCACCGCAGGAACTTCTGCATTATCGCGGCACGGACGGTCTTGGAAACTGTATAAAGTCCTGGGAAGGCAATATTCTTGGACGAGGGAGGATGGCAGGGTATACGGGGATAGGACTATTGGATTTCCTGGTTGAGGAAGTTAAGCCAGCTTCCTAGAGTGTGCGGTAGGGGAGTATAGGTTAGGTGGGCGTACGGACGTTGTAAGTTAGACATAATAGATCACGTGGATAAATCTAATTTCTAATTAGCGACTGTCGCCAATTTCCCAAGGACTCCTTAAATAGAATCCGTCCTCGAGGACGTAGATACAATTGCGAGATAGATAAATCTCTTAGCGTGATCTCGTACATGGACTAAAGTGCTTACGGAACACTTTGAAGGGTTCTTATGTGCTGGAAAAATAAGGTTCGTTTCTGAAGTAAGGATATTCATGAGGATGGGGTTTAAGGACCTTGGTGTGCCGTAAAACTATGTTATTTATTTAAAGCTTGCCAGGGGAAAAAAAAAAGCGACGCCGATAGCGTCGGTCTGTCATTCTTATGCAGATGTCGACGTGGGTGGCTGTTGTCACGAGGTCACTCAACCCATAGTCGTAAAGATGAATTCTTATTTTAAAAGAAAATTGCTCATACGTGTTTACTGCTCGTTGAGAAATGTTATTTGTCAAAATATCTATGGATTGGATAATAAAGGATTTTCAATGAATTATTTAGGTGTGGAGAGTACCTTAAATGTTATGTAGGGTGAGTAAAGAAAAAATAGGTCGTTCTAACGACTCACGTCACTCGGCACAGAGCGACGTCATTCAACGCGTTATTCGTTTCGAATGCGGCCGTTTAACGATTACGTCAAGGCTGACATATAACAATGAGTGTTCCACGAAGAAATCTGGGACTTCCAACGTCTACGTCTTGGCCAATAAGCTTTTGTGACAAAAGGATGATGAAGGGAACTCTGGAACTGGGGAAACAACGTCCGGAGGCTTACGAAGTATGACAAGAGCACTCAGCCTGAAGCTTTTCCAACGACACGTTTAATTTTCCAAGAGACGACTTGTCGGGTGAACCCATTTTCCTCAATTTCGTGTCTTGTCTCCTCAATGTGAACGAGGCTTTATAAATGAGAGCGAACGTCACGTTCAGGATCTTCATTCAGCGGTACAAAAGTGACGCGACGGCTGATTCATTCCGTATCATTCCCGCTAAACGTCAACAAACAACTAATCGCATTAGATTTCGAAACTGGACGCCAGGCGTTCTCAGTACGACGCTTTTTAATCAACACGTCTTTACAGAGTATCGTCAGGGTTCGTTAACCCTCTCGATAATAATTTTTATTTTCGTAACGCTCGCTTCGGTCGTCGATTTGACTCTAGCAGTACCGCGCATGCGCACAGCGGACGTACACGCCAGTAATGGACGCTCGCACGGAATTACTGCCGCGGCAGGAATACCCGGCAGGCTATGCGACTTGTTTTCTTGAAAATCGACTGAAGAAACAAAATGACATACGAAATACTCCAAGTGAAATACATAAAATCCATCGTTAGTAGGAAATTATTGACAGTTGGACGGTTTTACGGTATTTATGAAATCATTTAACTTCTATATTTATGTCTTTCTATACGACGTTACGACTAACTTTTCGCCATGACGTCCAAACGCTCGGCTATGGGAGGAGTGAAAGCAGACGATTCCTCCGGCTGTCAATTAAGCGTAATTGCGACAAAAAACCAGTCCATGCTGTGTCGAGTCCCAAGTCTATTCCCGGACCACGTCGAATAAGAGGTCCGAGCCATTAGGAAATTGCTTGGCTAATAATAGCGCGTTGCCAGTTGCAACGTTACATAAAGCATAATGTAGTAAGCCGATGTATAGGTATTCACGTTCCACGTTACTGGGTAGCTAAGCTGCTTTCGGAACATAACAAATATTCTTTCGCTAGACTTTTATACAGGGTGAAAAATAATACCGGGAGTGACGTGTATATACAATTTATAACGATGATAATGGCCGACCGATCCAGTGCAAGAGAAGTGACGAGTTAAACGGAGAAATTTTCATGGGGGTCGATTAAAAGATTATTGTTTCCGGACGAGTACACATTTCTCTTAATGAGTTCCAGCTAATCCTTTGCTCATTAGGTTTCACCCCGTATAGAGAGACAGTGCGGCATTAGCAACGCGTAGTTTATGTTTGCAAATGACTGCCACGTGTCCCACGCTGAAAATGGTGTCTCTGCTATTTAATTCAAATATCGATTAAACTAGCAGGACGTAATTCCCATGAAAATTCAAACAGCCTCAAGGATATATACACTATAAATTAGCATACAAAGCCAAGTAAGTATCAGGAGATTTCAAAATTACAATCTCATCTGCAAATCATTACAGTACGGAGACACCAAGTATTTTTTTTTCTATCTGGACAAAATGACTGTCATCTCATCCTAATCACAGACTTCTTTGAATTCAATGCAAATTCAACCACACCTACCACTATGGTACCCATGAATTTTTTCCCAGCAGCCATAAAGATACGAATTTTCAATCTTCTCTCCAGTCACGAGTCTCCCTATTTCGATCTCACAGTCACGTTTATGCAGTCTGCTGCAGTTTCCCAACAGATTTCTCTGCAGCATCCGTGCACAGCCGTCATAGTATCACGGCAACAAGACTTTCGCACTGTCACTCTACATGCAACCCAACGTCACAGAGTCCAAACGCGCAGAATCCCGGTCCACGACGACCGGACATTTTTCGGAATGCCCAAAAATTGTAATATTTTTAAATCCTACCGTAACATTATTTTCAACGATTTTCAAATTCTTTCAATCACCGCGCGACTTCATCCCAAAGTCAAATATCCCACTTTCCCGATTTCTCAATAAAATTCCCTATTCATCTCCTATCCTTATCGCTCCCGTTTCCCGTTCACTATACAAGGATCCTTCCTGTTCATCCCAAGATACCCCAAGGATCCCACCGAGGAAAGCACGATAATGGTCCACGTAAATTAATTATACAATATAATTTAGAACTGAACTTCGAGTCTTGTATTTCCTGAAGGGGAAACAAGGGACGAAAGATGAAATTATTATCCATGGACCCTGTTCCGGGATATACGAAAACTTGAAATGATTACCAATGCACAATGGATCAGCATCCTGAAATTTAATCTCCCTAAAAAAGTTTTTTTATCTCAACGATGAATATACAACGAACGTTAACGATCACCGGGCCGAGCCTTGGATCATTATCAACCCACTGTAGAAAATAAACAGTACTAAGAGATTTCCCTCGAGATCGATAAATAGAAAGGAAAAAAAAAAAAAAAAAAAAAAAAAAAAAAAAAAAAAAAAAAAAAAAAAAAAAAAAAAAAAAAAAAAAAAAAAAAAAAAAAAAAAAAAAAAAAAAAAAAAAAAAAAAAAAAAAAAAATATTTCAAACGAGAAATGAAAGTTATCAAACGATTGCGCAATTAATTGGAAAGTCAATTAAACGTTTTGAGGGAAAGTTTATAGCTTTGCACGATATTGCGTAATATTTGCGATTACAATCAATGCTGATATGAAGAAATGTATTTTTGCCAATATTACCAGAGAAATCATTAAGGCCTAAACGCAATGCAATTGGCAGATCACCGTAAAACCGAGCAAGCTTTTCTCTCCTTGTGAAATCCAAGATCGAGACGCGGATCGGCGAAGGATCGTGAAATCGTGTCGTATTTAAAAACTATCCCATAGTCGCACAATCGACCTCGAATGACTCTCCGTTACGTGAGAGCGAGGTATAGGTTAAAAATCGATCTAAGGGTGAAATTGGATTTTTGGAAAAGATCAAAATATTTCATTGAAATATGTATACATATATATCAATGACGTCACGACTCAAGACTCTCCTGGTAGACGTAAAGGTAGCTTCCGGAAGTGTCTACTCGAGTGTAGATATATTAAGGAGAGGTGATTGAATTAACCGGAAGTATCGATAGAACAGATAGAAGGGTAAAGGTGAAACCGGAAATGGTGTCTAACAGAACGTAACGCCCTTCCCATCTTGAACCTGATGCTGCCTGGTGCACGCGAGGCACGACGCCATTTTGTTTCCACGCATCGCTGCCGATAAGAAAATCACAGTGATCCACGTGAAAATTGTGAAATAAAGGCGTGTTCGGAGGAAGCGACCGAACGCCCCTGATGATAGACTCTTTGGATAGGGTGTATATGGGTACTCGCCTTGAGGTAGGAACCGTAGTACTTGGTGACGAAGGGACTGTCACATTGCGACAGCACCATGATCTCTTGCTGGATGTCCTCGATCTCATCTTCAGCTTCCTCGAGATCGATGATCTTTATGGCGACGACCTGTTGGGTTCTGTTGTCGATACCTTTGAAGACCTCGCCGAAGCTGCCTTTGCCGATTCTTTCCTGTTTCGTGAATATCAGCTCGGGGTCTACTTTCTGGAATGAAAAAAAAAAAGGAAAAAATTTAATACATTTTTTTTTTTTTTTTTCCTAAAATTAAAGACCAATCCTTAGTCTTATTAAAGATTTTGTCGCGTGGGAAAAAAAACGTACTAAGAGTCACGTATGACTTTCCCCGGTGCACCGTCGTCCTTCGGTCATTAATCGAATGCACTTATGCACCGTTGCAATGCAGTTCTCCTTGGCTCCTTTCTAACGGATGATACGTGCACCGAGAGGAGTCACGAGACAAAAGTGCAAATCGCTGTGGTGCAGCTAATTAGGAACTATATCGAGTGTCAACGTGACGTTGAGCTTGGAAGTTATTGGCCTAGTCTATAGAGGCATTGCTCGATATACTGGGTGATCCAGTAAAAAAAAAAAAAAAAAAAAAAAAACCAAAATATACGCGAGCACGAATGAAGCCAAATGACTGAGAAAAAAAAATGAGACAGAGTATGAAATTTGATTTTAAAAAAAATTTTTTGTTATTTTCTTTACCAAAAAATTTTATTGTTTTTGCACAACCCTGTAGATAAATGTTGAATAAGATACGGACGTGCGCCCGACAAGGGACGATACAGCCGCGTTTCGATTTGGCATGCTAATATATTCGGTAAGCTCGGTCCGAGTCAGTTGGGAGCCATTGAAATTCGGCGGGATATTTAAATATCCAAGGAAAGTGACAGCCGAGGAACGAGGGTGAATATCAGAATCTGCAAAGCAGATATCCAACCGATATATCCAACAGTCCCAACGCCGGTAGCCATGTTGAATTTTCATGAAAGTCGTGACAATTAAATTTCACCCTGCGACGGGGATTACGCAACCCGCTATTTTCTATGTATAGTTCAAGGCGGATATACGTTTAGGATAACGTCTATGTAGCCCAAAGGTTTCGTGCTTTGCCAATCTAGCCACCCGTAAGGTAACTGAGTCCAGACCAAGTATAATCAGCCGGTGAACTTTTGCCCGTAAAAATAACGAAGAAACGAGGAACCCCTCGTAATTAAACTAGACGCAAGGACAAGGAACGCTGGAACACTTAATCCACGACTTAAATTGCAGTCTCTAGGTACTCGTCGAACAATTCAATCTTTCAGTCACTTGACCTTTCAACCGTCCAATTACACCCCCTGACCCCTACCACTCCGCCAAGAACCGGTCCATCGGCACTTTTTTACAAAATTTCACGTTTTTTTTCCATCGAATCTTACTTTTTACCATTTTTCTCTCCGTCAACTACCTTTTAGCATAATTAGCATAATTCGTAAAATTACCTAATTCGTAAAAATTAAGAGGAACCCAGCTTTCCTCACGTTCTCCTTAATTACTCAATTTTTTTTTTTTCTTATCTCTCCCATACGTTATAACTATCCGACCAAAAAATTCATAAAAATCTTCACGTCTCTTGAAACTTCCCAAACTTATTTCACTGCCGTGTCAAAGGTTAAACTTACTAATTTCCCCGATTAGACGTATCGAGGTATTCGACTAGGCAGATGAATTTAGTCAAGGAATTCCTTAATTCATCAGAGGCAAGGATGAAAGTCAACCTAATCCACGTAAGTATAATATATAGCTATACAGGATGCCATAGTCGGTTTGAGGTAAATGAGGTAAAGGACTATATGTATATATACATATATATACTATATACAGTACTAATCCCAAGTTACTGCACACTCGAAAATCCCAGGCATGCCAACTCACGGCACAAATTATAATTAGTGAGTATCAGCGACACAGAAGCTCAAGTAAACGGCAGTGCCACTCGAATAGGTCAAAGGTCGGTAGGAGGCTGAATAACACGAGTAGGTAGGAGGCGCAGCCGCTTAAAAAGGCTTCGTTGTTACTGCTTAGCCAAAGGCGGTAGGACCCATCCCTTAAAGTCTCCAGTACGGTACAGGGAGGGTGACGGGCGAGGGGTAGTAAAACGGAAAGCAAGATGGTTGACATCGACTTTAATTAATGTGATGAGACCTGAGGAATATCTGAGAACTCCTCGAGAACCATTGAAAGAGCCTATTGTTGAAACATTTTTGAGATATTTTTAAAAAAGTGCTGTCCCAGCTGAATTTTTGAAAATTTGTATTTTAACGATGTTACGTTGCAGAACTATAGTTAAAACCTATCAGGAACTACAGCACTCCTCGAGAACTATTGAAAGAGCCTATTGTTGAATCATTTTAAGAGATTTTAAAAAAGTGCGGTGCTGGAGCTGACACCCGTGTAGGACCACAATGTTTGTAATGTTACGTAACAGAAATATTGGTAAAACCTATCAGGAACTATAGAACTTCTCGAGAACTATTGCAAAGGCCTACTGTTGAAACATTTTTGAGAAATTTCGATGATAACTTCACGCCCGGGTAGCAGAAGGGCGAAATAAAAGGAATGATGACAACGTGGTTTCGCTTTTGGCTCATGAGAAATTTCATATTTCATAGGAACGTGGATGGTATTTTGAGAACGTATAGATGGTATATACATATATAAATACATGGTACATTATTATTTTTGATGTGTTTTTTTTTTATATTGTTGGTAGCATATACAATATACCTGGTTCTAACTTTGGTAATGAGACTAATCTTGACGCGCGGTGTGCATAGTGATTGTTAGGTTAGGCTGGCAGGAGCGCAGCGACGGTTGCGTAAACGACGTAGGCCCACGCGATTGAATGCAACGAGAGTCATCGGGCGGTTGCCGAGTTCAGCGGCCTTTTAATTTCACGGGGAGAAAGTGCATAGGTGCGCGAAGGAAGGAAGAACTTTGGAATATGTATTAATTGGATTCCGAAGACGTATTAAATAACGTTGAGAGTTATTTCGACCCTGGTATAGTTGTATGGTATACATATATAGATCGTGGTATGATCGATAGATTGACTATACCTTTCAGGACGGGGTTGCCTATTAATATCACACTGAGAAATTGCGCAAGTCAATTAAAGCGTCACAGTGTGTATTTTTCGTAACGCGATTACGTACGTTGGTACACATGACTTTGGTCCGTGTTCATTAATTAAGGTTGGTGTTAAATTTTTTTTTTACGTTACTTATGCATTTTCATTTTGACCAGGGCAGTCTTCTGCGCTGCCGGCGCGGCACGCACGAATATTCATTTAATTAAAAAGGAATAAAGGCGAATGCTCAATAATGGTCGTTGCGACTATTTCTGGTGATTTTTTTTTTTATCAGATGAACGATCTAGTGACATACGGCAGGGTGAAAATTGGACTTTTAATCTTTCATTAATTCTACGCTTTTTTGGCTATGGACCCAATATCCACTGCAGTGCTGGTATTTTATTTCTAGGGAATTTTTTTTTTTTTTCCAGTGTCCACCTGCACGAGACTGTCCCGACCGACCACGGTGGAGCAGAACTGCGCAGAAATCTTTTTGGAATTCGCTGACGGTGACTCACGGGAATGTGTAAATTCAAGAATCCGGGTCCACAGCCCACGGGTCACGGACGACGAGGACTCGGTCGAGTCCCTCAAGGCCTGTTGTATACCTAACGTTGGTATTTCACCCCAAGTTGTTGGCAACACTGGTGGTAATAAACTAGGGATGACTCGAGTGCTTTGATTCGTGATTTAAGATTATAGCGGGCACTTTTCTTTTTCTCGTCCTCCGCCTTTGGATTTCAGGTTAAGGCTACGCCACTGGATTCCTGACGTTTCGACATTCTTAGTTGTTTAAGGAGTGGATGAGATTATTTGGATGCAAGATATATGCCAATGACTACGTATACCTATGGATGGCTTACGTGGACACTGTTGCATTATGAAAAATTGCACGAAGCCAATGGCGCAGGCGCAATTTATTATTACAGGGAGAACGAAGTACACTGGAAAAATCGATTTCGCTAATATTTTCTTCGATTCCGACCAAACCCATTGGTTATCGTTAGGTGGAAGGACGCGTGAGTTAAGGAGAAAATGAAAGGTTTCCCATATGTTGAATTACGAGAAATAAATATTGCATTGTCGTAACACGAGAAAGTAAGACCAAAAGACTGGTACGGCGTGGCTGGTCTGTGTCTATGTGATAGAAAAAAAAAAACTGTACACAAAAAATCCAACATGGATACCACGTGAAAAATTTAAATTTTCAAGAATACACTTTCTTTTTCGCATTTTCAGCACACCCTGTATATTTATATATTAGGCTAAGTGCAAGGGACCGAGAACCCATGAGATAACAGGATTCTATGCTTTACACTCTCAATGATCGTGGTATCATTCGCCTCTGGTAATATCCAATTTAAATGCAAATAAACGTATCTCGAAAGGAGGGCGAGGTGGAAAAAGAGGAAGTCTGAGAAGAAAAAACAAAGAGGAGATCACTACTCATTCATAGGGATATCGTGTACCGTTTAGTGATAACAATCCCAGGAATTTTAAATGTCTCCCGTCCCCTGCCCTCGACCCGCCTTATTCGCGAAAATAAAAGTCGCGGGTTTCAAGAAAAAAAAAAAAAGTAATCCCCAGTCATTCCAGCGAGGTGGGACCATAGGTGGCATATACAGCCACCACGCATGCCTACGTAAGTGGGTAAACAGAAAAAAAAAAAAACTGACATCTCGCCAGAGCGATCCAAACTTCACGGTATATCACGTACACCTACACTACAGCAAGTATATCCCAGGTACACGACATTAGTCCAGCTTCACGTTTACAGTTCACAAACCAGTCCTGTACCAGTTCCTGTTACACCGGTATTCCCCTAGTATACAAGATACACAGGAATTTGTTAAATAAAAAAAAATTTATACCATTGTCGTACCCCTCGGTGACAGTCCGCGGCCATTTTATAGTCTGCGTAATTTCTTTGGCAAATAATGAAAATGGGATTAAAAGGTAAAAATGGGAAATTAATGAAAAAGTATAAAAATACATAGATTTATACTCGGGTCCGGTATAACTTTCACTCGATACAAGTTGGCGATAAAAGGGAAGGTATAGGTTGTTAGGCTGGACGAGGGAAAAAAAGAAAATGGGCAAAAAATAAAGTAAAACGAGAAAGAATTTTTCGTTTCGCGTCGATTCAAGGTCATTCCACTAGGTGAGTCTACTTCGGTCGTAGATGCCTGCAAGTCTGAGTCCAGTCTGAGGTCTGAGCTGCCATACGAGCTGTGCTTAACCAGACAAGAGAATCCGATAGTCTGTAATACGATGCCATCGAGTTACTTTCTAACAGGCGAACTGAACTGCTGGACGGAGAATGATTTTTTTTTTAAGTTACTCGAGGTCGTGGAACTTTTAGCGTTGAAATAAGTCTTGTGGGATCAGGCAGATCCCTAGGGGATTATGTTCGAATGCAGTTTGCGGTTTAAAGTTGCGGTATGAAATTGACCGATTCAATTTTCAATTTTATTTTATTTGCTTGTACCGACGCTCGGGTAGGTTCGGCATGACTCGGTGAACTTCGGCTAGTTCGAACGAAATGGTAAGCGGGACTTTGTGCACGGAAAAAAAGTTACTAGAATATCTGTAACGATATTACATGTACGTTCTAGGGACTTTTAGTTCAGAGCCAGACAAATGCTATTCTCGTGGAGAGTATTTCGATTTAAACTTTTAATTGAATTGGGAAATCGGTTATGCGCTGTTGAGGTTAGGTATTTTTTTTTTTTTTTTTTTTTTTTTTTTTTTTAAAAA